CTTCTCTCTCTCCCTCTCTTCTCCCCTCCCTCTCTCTCTCTTTCTCTCTCTTCACAAAAATCTTTTTAAAGATGTAAGGCAGTACATGCTACTCATTTACTTAAAACCCTATGTGGCTTTTACTTGGAGTGATACTGGGCACCAAGACCTTTGATGGCCTCTAAGGCTACTTAGGAACCTCCAGCATTGATGGCTTCCAATTTCCCAGTCTTTATAGCCTTCTGGCTCAGCAAACCTACCTTCCTTCCTTTACTCTCAGAACATACTTCCTACCCCCTACTTCCGTTTCTGCACATGCTGCTGCTGCTGCTGCTGCTGTACCACCCCCTTCCCTAGCAGAGCCTCTTCCAGGGCTGTCCTTCCCACCCTTCAGGTCTCTGTCCCCATCTCAGCAAGGCTAAGGCTGTCCTCAGCCACTGCGCTCACCGTTCTCCAGTATGTTCTACAGCTTCCCTCTAAGGTCATCCATTGCTTCCCCACCCTCTTCCAGAGCAGGGTGCTTGCCTTTGTTCTTAAGGCCTATAGCAGTACCTGGCACAAGGTACACACTCAAGCCTGTTGAATGAACCCAGTGGATGAATAATGAACAAAGCTGCCAGTGTTCAAGTGACGGCTGTGTGTCAGGCACTACAGCAGGCACACGTTGCTTCTCATTCAAGCATCCGTAGCCAGTGGAGGAAGTTATTATGAACCCAATTTGACGCACAGGACAACTGAGGCTCCAAGAGGTGATGAGCTCCTTGCATTAGCAGGGGCAGCGTCTGTATCATCCACAGGAGGCAGCTGGATGCCAAGCTGTACCTGAAGGCTCCTGGGACATGAGAACAGTAGGGCTCAATGGAGGCTCCATTCTAGTGTGACCAACTTACCCTGGTTTGCTGGGACTTCCAGGCATCTTATTTCTTATGCCAGAGGGTTTACACAGTCACCCCTGTACCCCTGAGCAAGCCAGAGCTGCCTCTATGGGCTACAGCTGGAGAGGTTGGTCCCTGCCTTTTTTTTTTTTTTTTCCTCAGGAATGGTGATGTTTCAGGCTCATCAGAGTCCATTCTACGAACCCTGTGCTCACTAAGCCTGTTCTCACTAAGCCTGTGCTCACTAAAAGGCTCCTATGACCTTTTCTGGACCCAAGCAAATGCAACAAAGTCCATTCTAGATAATATAAAAGGTGGGACTTGCCCTCACATAGATGTTCCCTCAAAGGGACATCTTGGTCCCTCTTGCCCTTTTCTTTCACACACACACACACACACACACACACCACATGAGTAAGTTTGTTCTCTCTTTTCACTACGTACGTATCTGGGGGATCAAACTCAGATCATCAGATTTGGCAGCAGGCACCCTTCCTCACTGAGCCATTTTGCCTGCCCCACACCCATTAGCTATTTGTCACTCATCTATCGGCCCCACCTTCAGCCATACAGACTGTACAAAAGCTTCCTTAAGAAGTCAAGTGGCTGCCCAGGTTCCCAGAGAGCTTCGCAGGAAGGCAGGGCGGGCCCTGGATGTCAGCCTGAGTAGCCTTGGGAATCCTCTCTGACACGTGGTGTTGCACAGGAAAGCCATGTGGGGCTGGGAGCCCTGCCAATTCCCAATTTTGGGCTTTCCACTTCATTCTTTCCACCCTGGAGAGGCTTCCCAGCCCTGATCTCAGCAGCTTTAATTTCACACAAAGACTTGTCC